TTTATAAGGGAACCTAAACCCCCCAAAAAGGGAATAAGGGTACTACTGGGCATCCTAGCTCCTCACAAAAACCCCCTCGGCCCTCCAACCACTGCAGACAGGCCACGAGAAACCGAGGCTGTCGCGCACCGGCGTCTTGAGCATTGTCAACGTGTAGGACCTAGGGTTTGGGATTTAGCCAAACCCTAAACCCTCAACCCCAAACCCTACACCCCAAACCCTAAACCCTAAACCGCAACGTTCCGTGTCGCGAAAACGCGGCGGGAACGCACTGCAATTGGAGCTCTTGGATGGGTTGCAACCCCCCCACCTATACCCTAAACCCTAAGCACTGAACGCTAAACCCTCAACCCTAAACCCGAAACCCTAAACCCCTGCCTACGATGGGTTTAGAATTTGGGAATCTAGAAGTTGGCTTATTTCGGGTTTCAGGGGTCTCGGCTATAGGGAGTTAGGGCTTTCGGGGTTTAGGGGTTTAGGGTTTGGGGGTTTGGGGGCTTTAGGGTTTAGGGTTTAGGGTGTTAAGTTGGGATGCTCCCCCCTATACTAACAGTCCTTAATAGGGGATTATAATAGGGGGCACTATGCTCCCTATTGAGGACTGCTAGTATAAGGGGGAACATCCCCCCAAGTTTTAAGGCTTAGGCTGAGGGCCTTTAGGGTTTTGGTGTTTTGGGCTTTTGTGGGGGGGGGGGGGGGGAGGGGGGGGGGGGGGGAGGGGGGGGGGGGGGGGGGGGGGGGGGGAGGGGGGGGGGGGGGGGGGGGGGGGGGGGGTAGGGGGGGGGGGAGGGGGGGGGGGGGGAGGGGGGGGGGGGTGGGGTCGAGGGTCGAGGATGGAGGGGTATAGGGTTGAGGGTTTAGGGTTTAGGGGTTTCCTAAGGGTTGCTCATAACGCGGGGCGGGGGGGGGGGGGGAAGGGACGGAGCAGATGTAAGAGACCTCCGAATGAACTTCTTACTGGCCTGCTAGTACTTGGAAGCCCGTTTGACTCGGTGAGAAGGCTTGGCAAGCTGGGTTATGGGGTTGCAAGAGGACTTCTAGGGTTCAGGGTTTAGGGTTTAGGGTTTAGGGCTTAGGGTTTAGGGTTTGGGGTTTGGGGTTTGGGGTTTAGGGTTTAGGGCTTACCGCCCCAAAAAAAAACTAAAATCCTTCCTCCCACAGCCCTAAACCCTGCACCTCTCAGACCTAGACCTCTTGCAGCAGGCTTGGGTGTAGGGTTGAGGGTTTATTGAGGGTTTAGGCTTGTGGCTTTAGGCTGCTTGAGGCTTGAGGCTTTAGGATTTGGGTTTATGGGAATTTAGGGTTTAGGGTTTCCTTAACCCATCAATCAACGCCCAGGCGGCAAGAAGGAGAGGTTGACTTCCGGCTCCAGCGCCACGGCTCGGATGAGATGCACATCCCTGAGAACGTTAGGGTCCTAAGGTGCTACGGTGCTGCGGTATTAGGGTGTTAGGGTGCTAGGGTGATAAGGTTTAACGATTAGGGATGGAGGGTTTGGAGAGTGTACAAGCCCTAAACCCTAAACCCTAAACCCTGAACTCCTTCCTGGCCAAGCCAACAGACACCCCCGCACACATCCCTGGGTTTGGGTTTAAGGATTTGGGGTTTAGGGGTTAGGGTGTTAGGGTGCTTGGGTTTAGGGATGGAGGGTTTAGAGAGTTTACAGGGTTTAGAGAGGTTTAGGGCTTAAATTAAAGGAGAAGGATTTAGAGGGTTTAAAGCGCTTTGCAATATCCTCGAATCGCACATCCTGGACACCCTATCACCCTTTCTAAGAGTAGCCACATGGTCCCTTACCTGACAAGGTTTCTGAAGTATGTTCCCTTGAGGTTTATGGGGCACAAAAGGGCGCTGCACGCGCCCTAAAAACCCCAGAAACCCCCTAAACCCCCTAAAGCCCCCTAAAACTCCCTAAACCCCCAAAACCCTAAACCCCCTAAAGCCCCCTAAAACTCCCTAAACCCCCAAAACCTTAACCCTAAACCCCCTAAAGCCCCCTAAAACTCCCTAAACCCTAAACCCTAAACCCTAAACCCTAAACCCCCTAAACCCTAGACCCTCTAAAGCCCCCTAGACCATCACAGCAAGGCAGCTCCCGCTCCGCCGTTGCCATCGAAGGCGCCACCTTGCAAGCATAGCGGGCCCCCAATGCTTGGGGGTTGACTTAGGAAGTAGGTTTAGGGTTTAGGGTTTAGGGTTTAGGGTTTGGGGTTTAGGGTTTAGGTTGGGGGTTTAGGGGTTTAGGGGGTTAGGGTTTTAGGGTTTAGGGGTTTAGGGTTTAGGGGTTTAGGGGTTTAGGGGTTTAGGGGTTTAGGGGTTTAGGGGTTTTAGGGGTTAGGGGTTAGGGGTTTAGGGGTTTAGGGTTTAGGGGTTTAGGGGTTAGGGGTTTAGGGGTTTAGGGGTTGTTAGGGCTTGGGTTTAGGGTTGGGGTTGAGGGTTTAGGGTTTAAGGTTTTGGGTAGTGATTAAAGCTTGTTTTTTGCGTGTAGGGTTCATAGGTTACCGGTCTATAGGGTTTAGTGTATTGGAAGCAAGTTTGGGTTTCGCAGTTTAGGGCTTAGGGTTCAGGGTTTGGGGGGGGGGGGGGGGGGACACGGTAGAGATTCCGATGTGTGAGGTCTGAATGTGTGTATGGGCTATCTTCACTCTGCATGGCATAGAGCCACCACGGCAAACGACGTCTTTCCTGAAGGCCGTGGGTTTCGGGTTTAAGTTTAGTCATAAGTAGTGGTAGGTCCATATGTGTAGGGTTCTTCGGACGGCTACACTACTTGCAAGTACCACACTGTGCCCTAAAACCTACTTAGAAGAGCCCCTGAGCCTTCCCCTAGATCCCCAACCCTAAGCTCCCAAACTCCCAAACCACCCGAACCCTCAACCCCTAACCCCAAAGGAAGCCTTATCCTTAAAGCTCTAAACCAGAAACCCCTATACCCCAAACCCCTAGACCCTAGACCCTAAAACACCCAACCCCTACAGACCTAAAGCATTTCAAGAACTAAACCCCTGAAGCCTTTGAAGCATCAAACCTCTAAACCCGAAACCCTAAACCCTAAACCCTCAACCCTAAACCTAAACCGCTTCAGGTGGATGGTTCCCGGATGTCCGCCTGCATGAGTATCTTGACCTCAGCTTGCGCCCAAGGATCTCCAGGGCTTAGAGGTTTAGGGTTGAGGGGCTTAGGATTTAGGGGTTTAGGGCTTAGGGGTTTAAGGTTTATGAGTTTAGGGAGTAGGGATTCTTAATCAGACGCGGTTGCGGGTCCAGGTCTTAGGGTTTTAGGGTTTAGGGTTTAGCCGTCACGAGCAGTGCAGGGCTTTCAGGGTGAAGGGCTTAAAACTCCTACAGCCCTCGAAGCCTCAGGGGGCTTAGCGATTCAATCCCCAAACCCTAAACCCTAAATCCGGCACCCTAAACCCTAAACCCTAAACCCTGCACCCCAAGCCCTAAACCCTAAGCCCGAAATCTCAACTGCAGGCGAGGTTCTTTAGCTCGGTGGCCGCTGCGGTTGCAAGCCTGTACCCGGTGAAGCTAAGCAAAGCTCCAAGGTTTAGGGTTTAGGGTTTAGGGCTTAGGGCTTAGGGTTTAGGGTTTAGGGTTTAGGGTTTAGGGTTCAGGGTTCAGGGTTCAGGGTTTACTCCACGAGCCAACTAAGGGGAGCCTTTAGGGGTACAACCTTAGGGGGTACGAGTCTTCATCCCTTGAGAGGTTGAGGGTTTTGGGCTTCGAGCTTGGGTTCGAGGGCATGGAAGAAGGGAGGCAAGCGACCTGAAGAACATGAGGCAAGCTTCACTTGAAAAAATCACCCAGTAGGTAAACCCGAGACCTTAAACCCGATCGTCTTCATGCCGCAGAGTTCATGGTGTCAGCCTTGCAGAGAAGTCCAGGACGTCATCTTTGTCAGCCCATGCAATGTCAGCGCATGTGCGGGATTGCGTGCTCCAAATCCTTCTAAGTCGCATCACTGAAGCCGCGGTGGCCTTCAAGAAGAGCCCTGTGACGACCACAAACCGCTTCGCAGCCTGCAATGCCTGAAACCCTCAACCCTCAACCCTCAACCTAAATCCTAAACCCTTTGCCTTGAATCTTTGTCCCGTGCTATAGGAATCTTCACAGCGGCGAAGCCGAAAGTAACAGGCACCCCATGGCCTCAAGGTTTTTTGGGCCGTAGGAGTTGAGGGTTTTGGGGTTAGGGTTTAGAGCCCTCTAGGCCGTAAGCCCTAAACTTTAAGCCCGACGAAGCCTCTGAATCCTAAAACCTAGGCCCTAAACCCTAAACCCTTGATTAAACTTTTGGTTTAATTGCCAAATGCCTCGGGATCGGCTTTGGCTGCGAGGAGGAGAGGCACCAACTCCTTCGCTGGGCGGAGGGCTCTTGGGATGGACGGGATTAGGGTTTGGGGCTAAACCCTCATGTTAACGTCACATTGATAAATGGGGTGAGAATTGACAGGGGATCCCGGTCCAAGACAACTTTCCATTACGGGAGGTTTTCGGGCTGATACGTCCAAACAAAGCTATACAAGGGGGTCGGGTTGTGACATGTATTTATAAAATTCGGCTGGCCAGAAGTCTAAAATTTCACTGCAGATTGCTTAAGAGTTCCTGCAGCAGATCAGAGGACAACAGACAGACAAAGTCCCAGATCCCCAGACCCCAGACCCCCAGACCCACTTGATTGCCACCCCCGCTTTTCTTCCCGCCCTCAAAACCGCGGAAACCAAAGCAAAATCTGGGGGGGGGAGGTTTATAAATGTCACCCTAACATTAAACCCTGAACCCTAAACCCTGAACCCTGAACCCCGAACCCTAAACCATATCCGGCTCCTTTGGGCTTTGGGAAGCCCAGTTTGGGAAGCCTAGGCTTAGGTTGCTATCTGGGCCGCAAATCGGGGCGTCACACGGGAAAACCGGCCAAGTAGCACATGATTGCCATTGGCTTCAATTCGAAAAAGTGGTCGACGATGCTTGTATGATGTATTCACGCTGACACATTTGGTGTTAAGGTAAAGCCGGAACTGCAACCGTGGCTGTTCCCACATGCGGGATGTCGTGGGCCTTGACAACTTTGTCCACCGGGCCCTGGAATTTTCCGTTGTTTTCAGGTCAACCAGTCCCTTGTTCCTGGTCGGCGCTCCCGCTCCCTGGATCCTAAACCCTAAACTCTGCAGATTCTAAGCCCGAACCCTCAACTCTAAACATTTGGACACAAAACTCTGCATCTACCACCCCCTCAATCCCTGAACCCAAAACCCCAAACTCTGGGGCTTTAAGGTTTGGGGTTTGAGGGTTTCGGGCCTGAGGCAAAACACCCTCAACCCCCAAAGCTCCCAAAAGCCCGAAAGCCACCTTCTCCAGGCCGCCAATCTGCGCCCAGTGGAGCACCTAGGCTTATGGGGTTTAGTGTTTAGGGCTTAGGGCTTAGGGTTTAGGGTTTAGGGTTTAGGTTTTAGGTTTTAGGTTTTAGGGCATCAACAGCACCCCAAGCCCCTTCGCCAGCGAAACCCTCCAGCCTGACCTTTCCTCTCAGCTTTCCTGGCGTGCCTCCCAGGGCCCCGAGTCAGGAATGGGTGGCCGTCAAAATCACGATCCCTTTTGGGGGTACTCTAAATAGGAGGTGCCATATGAGAATAGGGATCCACAAAGGGACCATAATTTTGACAACCACCCGAATGGAGGCTGTGGATCTCCTCCCACAGCTCGCCCTCCATCAGCGCGACGAGACAGCGTGGAGCCGAGGCTTCTCCACCTGCAGCTTGGTGATCTGGGCTGAAGTCGGGACGCTGTCAGAAAGCGGGTACCCTAAACCCTAAACCCTAAACCCTAAACCCCAAACCCTAAACCCTAAACCCTAAACCCAAACCCCAAACCCTAAACCCTACACCATGGCGGCAAACCCGCTTCTGGGTGGAGGAGAGAGCCTCCAGGGGACCGCTGCCCAGGGAGTCAGGGAGGATGTTGACATCACTCTCCTCCGTCGTCGATGGCTCCTCTTCCATGCCCGCCCATCCGCGCAGCTTCTTCCTTATATTCCTATATTCCCGACACCCTAACCCCAAACCCTAAACCCAAACCCTAAACCTGAAACCCTGAACCCTAAAACCCTCAACCCAGAGTTGCCAACGGCCCCAGACTCCCCAAAGCCGTACAAAGCTGCAAACCCCAAACACAAAAACATGAAACGCAAAAGCAAACCAATCCCCGATCCATAGGGTGAGGGTGTAGGCCCTGAGCCTTGGGGGTGAGGGTTTAGGGCTTAGGGTTTGGGGTTGAGGGCTTCGGGTTTAGGATTTAGGGTTTAGGGTTTAGGGTTTAGGGCTTAGGGTTTAGGGTTTAGGGTTTAGGGTTTAGGGTTTAGGGTTTAGGGTTTAGGGTTTAGGGTTTAGGGTTTAGGGTTTAGGGTTTAGGGTTTAGGGTTTAGGGTTTAGGGTTTAGGGTTTAGGGTTTAGGCTCAAGGTTTACGATATCACAAAGTTCTGGAGACCACAGGTCAAGCCATGTGGCCGTGTTCCCCCTGGCATCTCGGACGTCCACAGCAGCCATGCCCTGAAGCAAAGAGCGAGCCGCCTGGACGCTGGAAATTTCACTTGGTCAAGGGGGGGGCCTTCGGGCGCGCCCAACCCTAATTCCTAAACCCTAAACCCTAAACCCAAACCCTAAACCCTAAACCCTAAACCCTAAACCTACACCCTAAACTTAGCCCTATAGGGCTTTACATGGTTGATCGGGGTTCGGGGCTTAAGCGGGATCGGGGTCGAGGATACACCCTAAATCCCTAAATCCCTGGAATCTCTGAAATGGCTGGACCCCTAAACCCTCAACCCATAAACCCTAAACCCCTAAACCCTAAATCATTCCCTAAACCCACCAATCCCTAAACCCTAAGCCCTAAACCCTGAACCCTCAATCCACAAACCCTAAATAGGGGATCCGAAGTCTGGGCCCTTGATGTTTGTCCCTGCCTGGATACACACTCTACATAATCAGGGCCCCCATACTTCGGTCTCTTTAAAACCCCTTTCAACAAGGGTAAGGGGCCTGAATACCCATGGCTCCAACCTTAGACTACACCTAAACCCTAAACCCTAAACCCTACACCCTGAACCCTAAACCCTAAATCCTAAACCCTAAACCCTAAACCCTAAACCCTAAATCAAGCTCCCGAGCCGGTCCTCGAGGTGCCCGGCCAAGCAGGCCACGCCGAAGGGCGGCAGGCCCGTGCCCGAGCTGGGCTGAGACAGCGCTTCCTGAGTCGGTTTTTGGGCTTTTTGTGGTTTAGGGTTTAGGGTTTAGGGTTTAGGGTTTAGGGTTTAGGGTTTAGGGTTTAGGGTTTGGGGTTTGGGGTTTGGGGTTTAGGGTTTAGGGTTTAGGGGAATTCGCGGAATTAGGGTTTAGGGTTTAGGGATTAGGGGAATCGGAGTTTAGGGTTTAGGGGTGTTCAGGAGTTTGGGGTGTTGGCCAGGGATTTGGGGTTTGGGGGTTTTAGGGCTTAGGGAGTTAGCTTTGGGTTTAGGATTTATGGGGATGAGAGAGAAGAGTTTACGGGAATTAGAGGTAAGGGTGGATTTTGGTTTAGAAGGGCGTGTGTCTAATTAGGGTTTGCGTTGTAGGATTTAGGCATTCGCTTCCAGGCTTGGGTCTAGGGTTTAGAAGTTGAGGGTTTAGTTTAGGGGGGTTTAGGAGCTTGGGGCGAGTGGTGCTTTTTTTTGCTACTCCTTGCGCGCTGTGCGGCTGCACAATTTGGCTCCCAGGTGCCTGGCAATCTGGGCATACCTAACACGGGGCCCTAGAATAGCCACAGATCGCCCTGAGAGGGTCACATTGGTCACGGCTGTGGCAGAGGTGCACCCTTTCACTACCCTTGTCTTCATTATCAGTTTGATTGTCGCGCGCACAACATTGGCACCAAGTAAAAAGTAGCGGCGGGCGCAAAGCTGCCTAAGGTGCCCTAACTGGCTTGGGATTCGATCTGCGCGGGAGGCAGTTCCAAAATCTAAGCCTTGCTGAGGTCCCTCCACAAGCCCCTCCACCAAGCCCCACCCGGAGCACAGAAAGTTTGAGCTCCACCAGGCATCCGGCATGGCTGAGATATGCACCACAACAATCGATTCAGGCCAGAGTTGGCACGTGTCGTCCGGAACTTCCAACTCAGGAAAATGAATTGGGTAGTCCTGCACAGGGACTAGATCCTCAACCCCAAGCGGCTGCTTCTTGTTTCTTTTGTATGAGGTTTGAGTGCAGGGGCCTTAAATCCTTGCAGCCGCGCATAGAAAATCTCCCTAAGCCCTAAACCCTAAACCCTAAACCCTAAACCCGAAACCCTACACCCTAAACCCTAAACCCTAAACCCTAAACCCTAAACCCTAAGCCGCATGAAGCCACATGAAGCCACATGCCTGCGAACTCTCCTTTCAAGCATCTCCCGGTGGACCGGCCCAGGGAACGAGCCGAAGGGATTCAGGCTAGCTTAAACTCTGAATCCTAAAGCTAAAACCCTAAGCCTTGAAACTCTAAAACCTGAAACTCTAAAACCCAAACCCTAAATCCAAACACCGAAAGTCAACCCTTCGACTTGTCTGAGGCCGCCGACCCGGAAATGCATCAACCGGCCCACCATGTCCTGCGTTGGGCATCGGAGGCAAGGCTGGACCAGCGCACCGGGTTTAGGGTTTAGGGTTTAGGGTTTAGGGTTTAGGGTTTAGGGTTTAGGGTTTAGGGTTTAGGGTTTAGGCTTTAGGGTTTAGGGTTCAGGGATGAGGGCGGGAAGAAGGGAACCTTTGGCTTTAGAAGAAAGAAGAAAGCCCCCCAAACCCCGCACCCTAAACCCTCAACCCTCAACCCTAAGCCCCAAAGCCTCAACCTTATACCCTAAACCCTAAACCCTAAACCCTAAACCCTAAACCCTCAACCCTGAAACCCTAAACCCTAAACCCTAAGGGGTTGAGGAGTTTTATGACGGCTTGAGCTCCATGAACTCCAGCAGGGAAGGTAGACGGTTCCTGACTTAAGGGCCCAGACTAAGGGGCCCAAACCGTAAACCCCAAACCCTAAACCCTAAACCCTAAACCCTAAACCCTAAACCCTAAACCCTAAACAACTACCCTAAGGCCCGAAGAGATGAGCATTCAAAACCCGCCCCAAGCTAGGAATTCAGGAGTGCGGACTGGGCACTTCCCTCGGAGCTGACGGGTGCTGCCCTAAACCCTAAACCCTAAACCCTAAACCCTAAACCCTAAACCCTAAACCCTAAACCCTAAACCCTAAACCCTAAACCCTAAACCGGCAGTCTTCGGCACTTCGCTCTTCGGGGCGGCACGAGACTTTGCAGGCTTGAGAACCTTGAGAATTCGCTTCGTTGGCACGGATTTTTCCGTTCTGATTCTCCAAGCCCTCGATGAGGAACGTTCTGGCGCTGTTTCGACCCCAGGCTCAGTGAGGAAAGGGATGAGCACCAGATGCGGCTTGGGGCCCATCTAGGCCATGTCGGGTTTAGGGGTTTAGGGTTTAGGGTTTCGGGCTTAGCGTTTAGGGTGTAGGGTGTAGGGTTTAGGGTTTGGGGGTTAGGGTTTAGGGGTTAGGGTTTAGGGTTTAGGGTTAAGGGGCTGAGGAACACTAAGGAAGGCATCAGTGAAAAAGCAATATCCAAACAATCCGGACGCTCGCATGGAAGAATCCTCAGAAGGAGTACAATCGCAACCACAAACCGTAAGCCCTCCACCTCCAGGCGTGAGTTTTTGGAAGTGTCAGGCATCTCCAGCGGGGCAGGTTTCGCCCTCCAGGTGCTAAATCCTAAACCCTCCTAACCTATACTAAACCCTAAACACGAAACCCTAAACCTTAAACCTTAAACCCTAAACCCTAAACCTCAAACTTAGGATTTTGGGGTCCTCCTTGAGGCAGGACAGGACGGCGCAGTCGCCATTCACCGCCGCCAAGTGGAAGGGTGTCCAACCGAACTTGTCGACGGCCTGTCATCTAGGGTTCAGGGTTTAGGGTTCAGGGTCTGCCTTGGGTGCAATGGTAGGCTTCAAGCAATTTTTATTGGTTGGCCCTTGCAACACCCTGCGAAAGTAAAACACAAATAAGACAAAAGGGACCTATCAAATATCCCAAGGTCCCGAAACCCTAAACCCGAAACCCCTAAACCCTGAACCCCAAACCCGAAACCCTGAACCCTAAACCCTAAACCCCAAACCCTCAACATCCTTAAAACCCTCAACATCCCTCAACCCCAAGCCCCAAACCCAGGTCACAAGAAGCCCAGCGCCTGCCAGGAGCTCCTTTCAGACCAACAGCTTGTGACCGCATCCTGTGGCGATTCGGCTTGGCGATTTGGGGATTTGGGGATTTGGGGATTTGGGGATTTGGGGATTTGGGGATTTGGGGATTTGGGGATTTGGGGTTTGGGGTTTGGGGTTTAGGGTTTAGGGTTTAGGGTTTAGGGTTTAGGGTTTAGGGTTTAGGGTTTAGGGTTTAGGGTTTAGGGTTTAGGGTTTAGGGTTTAGGGTTTAGGGTTTAGGGTTTGGGGCTTGCGGGTTGCGGGTTTAGGGTGCAGGGTTTGAGGGCTTAGGGTTCAGGAATTGAGGGTCAATATGAGGGTCAAACTTGGGGGTTTGGGCATTTGGGGGTTTAGAGTTTGGTTTTTGGGGCTCGAGGTTCAGAATCACTCCCCCCTCCCACCCCGCCCAAGAGCATCAACCACCTTTCGGGTGTAGGGTTTAGGGGTTAGAGTTTAGGGTTTAGGGCTTCGGGTTATAGAATCTAGAGATTTACAGAGCTTAGTGTTTTAAGGCTTAGAGTTCAGGGTTTGGGGGCTTAGGGTTTTGGGGTTTGCAGTTCGAGGTTTAGGGGAGAAGCCCCAAGTCATAGGATCCCCTGCACAAGCCACCGACGAACGTTTTGGGAGTTCTTGGGCAGGATGGGGCTTGGGGCTTGGGGCTTGGGGCTTAGGGTTTAGGGTTAGGGTTTAGCGTTAAAGGTTTAGGGTTTTAGGGTTTAGGGTTTAGGGTGTAGGGTTTAGGGTGTAGGTGTTTAGGAACACCTTCCCTGATATGGCTCCGCCGTCGCTCATGCAGATCGCGCAAAAAGAGCGAGGACGTAGTCCGAATCAGCTGTTCCCATTCGCGCCCGACGATTCAAGCGGCTCAGCTCACACGCGCTGGGACCCAAGACCCGAAACCCTAAACCCTGAACCCTAACCCCTTTAGACAGTAAACCCTAAACCCTAAAAAGTAAACAAACCCTAAACCCTGCTTTTGGTAAACCTTCAACCCCTAAGCCCCAAACCTGACCTTAGGGGCAAAGGCTTCGGGAGATTTTGAAACCTAAGCCGGCTGAACCCTAAGCACGCCCGAGAGGTGTTGACCCCAAACTCAAAACACTGCGCCCTGATCCCACCCCACCCACCCTAAGCCCTAAACCCTAGCCCTAAACCCTAAACCCTGGCCCTAGACCCTAAACCCTGAACCCTGAACCCTAGAAAATCCGGGGGCCTGCTTCGGCAGCAGCGCTTTCACAGCCTCGACATTGCCCTGGGTGACGGCAATGAGCAGGTCCTGGGTCCTAAATCCCCAACCCCCCAAACCCCCAAACCCTAAACCCTGAGCCCTGAGCCCTAAACCCTAAACCCTCGACCCTAAGCCCTAAACCCTAAACTGTAAACCCCCCAAACCCCTAAACCCTGAACCCGAACCCAAGTCCAGCACGCTGGAACCCACAAGCCCACAACCCTCCAACCCCAAGCCCCCCAAACCAAAACCCCAAACCCACAAACCTGAATGCCCTAACCTCAAAGTCCCAAATAATGCCTTAGTACCCCCATACCCGCCCTTTTGACTTAGCGAGCAGGGTGCGTTATAGGGATGATTGAAGGGATTTGGGGGGATACTAAGTAGACTTACTAAGCCACAAGAGCGTTCAAGTACTACCCTAGTAAACTGTACTGCCCTAATCCCCTTATAGCCGAATACCCTAACCTCGAAGTCCCAAACCGTAGTCTCTAATACCCTAGTACCCCCTAATACCCTACTGCCCTAGTACCCTGTACTACCCTAATACCCTCACAGCCGAATACCCTTACGGCTCGGGTTCAAAGTTTAAGGTCTAGGGCAAGACCGGCAAGGCCTCTACCCTAGACCCGCAAAACCCTAACCCCCACAACCCCCCACAGGCCCTGGGGGAAAGGTGTAGCTTTCAGACCCAGGACAACTATCCCTTTAGGCCAAAGGGGGAACCATGATGAATTCAGGTTTCGGGTTTAGGGTTTAGGGTTTAGGGTTTAGGGTTTAGGGTTTAGGGTTTAGGTTTCTGGTGGTTTCATAAGACATAGAGGCGCTTCTGAGAGTTCCTCTGACAAGGATCAAAGTATTTTGGGGGCCATATCATGGGCCCTTTATCGGGAGAAGTACCCCGATTCCTTTTTTACTGAAATAAGGTAAGGTATTGGGCTTTCTAAAGAGAGGTTCAGGAGTGTAGTGCGTAGAGGGCTTAGCCCTGAACAAT